GAGACACGAAACGACATAAAGACAAAAAGAAAGAAGTTCTGTGTCCGAAATATTTAATAATGACGTCGCTCACTGGCTGTGAGTTGTGTCGTAGCAACGCCGCGTAAACACGTCACGTTCACAGATTACTGTGTAGCTAAGAAACGGGTAAAACTAGATTTAACAAAACATAAACGGGACATTACTTCCATTTTAATGGCAAGTCTTCGCGCTCTCATTCATCTTGTTTGCATTAATCCATGATGGCCCACATCGCTGTTAGTGACCATCGGCTGGACGCTACTTCTCACGGTGCATTGTGGGATATTTTAGGCGACTATACAGGGTGTAGTGGACGATTTCAGACCCAGTCATGGACACAAAAAAGCACAAAACGACAAAAATCAGACACAAAGTGACATAAACAAGGAACAAAATGAGACAAAAGAGACACAAAATGACAACAAGGACGCAAAAGGAGACAAAACTGTCCCAACGTGACATGAAAGAAAGGTGAGACAAAACGGCATAAACAAGATGTGAGACACAGAACGACAAAACTGAGACCAAAACTGAAATGACCAAGACACAAAAGAAAAATGAAACACAACACAACAGGAAAAAGAGAAAATGACACGATGGCGTCACAACACGACGAGGATGAGCGGACAGGAGGGAGACACAACTGTCCCAACAAGACATGTGACAACATGAACACAAGATATGAAACAAATGTGAGACACAAAGCAACACAAATGAGACACAAAACGACAACAAGGACACAAAACTGCCTCATGACAGTAAATGACATGAACCAACATAAACAGGACACAAAAGGCAGTGGGACAAAATGACACAAAAACAACAAAAACGAGTCACAGAACAACAAAATTGAGACCAAAAATTAAACGAACAAGACACAAAAGGAAAAATGAGACACAGCACGACACAACTGAGACACAAAATCACAAAAACAAGACACAAAACAAAAAATGAGACACAAAATGACACGATAGCATCACAACACGACAAAGATGAGCAGACAGAAAGGAGACACAACTGTCCCAACAAAACATATGACAACATAAATAAGATACAAATCAGATAAAAGAGACACAAAACTACAAAAAACGAGACACAAAACCAGTGACGATCAGTGCTGATTACTGGGTGACACCATATAAATCCAGTTCATTATTCAAA